ACAGGTATAGTTTTGATGACAAAAGTCCACTTTTGTCAACAAAACCCTCTACTTTAGACACACCCAAAGTGTCTACACAGCTCTGAGTTGCCTGATCCATCCCCTCATCTTGAGAGTCTGCAAAATACAACTCTAAAGGCAGCTCTGTTAGGAGATACAAAATAGGAACCAAATTGTTCATTTCACTATGGCATATATGGTCCAACATCTCTCCTTTTATACTCATGAGACAGATAGAAAGTGCTTGATCAAGCCCTGGCTGGGATGATTGAGTTGGGGTTGGTCCTTCTTTGGACAGGGGGCTGGACTCGATGACTCCTGAGGTCTCTTCCAACTTGAGGATCTGATGAAAGCAGGGATGTTCAAAGAAGCTTCAAAGGTTAGGTGCCCAGCTCCCTTTCACATCCATAAGCAATTGGGTGCCTAAATCCCTTAGGTTTCCACTTTGTCCATGTGGCAGCATAGGTGCTGTCTTGGCCTGTGTTTGGAGTCTGAGGTCCAGAGATCAGCCTGACCTGGGAGCATTAGCCTATTATCGGTCATGGAATCATTTCTTTGTAAATTAGAACGGACTTTGATTCTTTGGTTCTCTTACTGTAGCAGATCAACTCAGCTAATACAGCCGATGAACTGAGATTTTCACTGACATCAAAAGTTCTCTCTGCAGTCATTTAGTTTGACTAGGGGTTCCCTTTGGAATGTGACCTCTCCTTTTCTCTGTGGCATTGTCATTGGGTTCAATTGTTCTCTTTTCTCTGTTGTTTTCCCTTTTGAATCAATTGTTTTTCATGCTTTCCCCTTTGAGGTTCACACTACTTCTTCTCTCATACTGGTATTTTCTCTTTCTTAAAATAAATATTAACTTTCCGCTAGGTAATGATTTCACATTCCCACGAGCAGAAATATCAAGAGAGACTACATCCGCTCCTAGGAAGGAGAAATTACCTAGTAGGACAGATATACATTTCGGTGAAAGGGAATAAGAAAAAAATATATCAAGAAGCCAGGATCCAGAAATCAAAAGCCAGGATCAAGATCAGTCATCAAGCTAGGAACCTGCAGCTACTTTTACTGAGATAACGGATGACTATTTATCGTGGAGGAGAATGGAAAATATAGTGCAAAACTAGAACCCTTAGCCCAGAATATCTAAAGCAAGGGTGAGGATCAGGCAAGAGATCATCAGCGTGAAAGGCAAAGCTGCTCAGCTGAAATGAAATACTCTGGATGTGGAAAAGAAAAAAAAACCTGCTCAGGCATCTACTGTCAGAAATAATAAATTTGCTTGTTCAATCCAGGGGGAATCTCAATGAAGGTCGTGTTATTTACTTGTTCCCATAACACAAGAAGGAGGGGTCACCAAATAAAGTTAATAGGTGGCAGGTTTAAAACAAACAAAAAGGAGTTTTTTCTTCAGATAATCAACCTGTGGAACTCCTTGCCACAGGATGTTGCGAAGACCAGGACTTTAACAGGGTTCAAAAGAGAACTAGATAAATTCATGGAGGTTAGGTCCATCAATATTTATTAGCCAGGATGGGTAGGAATGGTGTCCCTACCCTCTGTTTGCCAGAAGCCGGTAATGGGCAACAGGGGAGGGATCACTTGATGATTCCCTGTTCTGTTCCCTCCCTCTGGGGCACCTGGCATTGGCCACTGTGGAGCAGACAGGACACTGGGCTGGATGGACCTTTGGTCTGACCCAGTCTGGCCATTCTTATGTTATGCCAAAACATGCCCAAGAAAGAATAACTAATGGAGCGCAGATTTAGAACATGAGAACTGCCCTCCTGGGTCAGACCAATGGTCCATCTAGCCCAGGATCTTCTCCTCTGACAGGGTGACGTAGTCGGGGGCTGTCTGCTCTGTAACTGGGGTTCCCCTGCACTGGGCTGTGTGATTCCCACTGACTCACCCACATGTGGATTGGCCCAGACACCTAGTCCCAGCCTGAGCAGATACCAAGGTTCTTCCCAGGGGATAGACAAAGGAAGGGAGGCAGAGACGAACACCTGGCTGGGGGGCAGGGCCTGGGAGCGAGGGAGTTTCTGGCTGGGAAACATGAAGGGAACAGACTAAGCAAAGCGCTAAGGGGGCGATGGACCCCCTAACCCAAGCGGCCTGAGGCATCCTTGCCCTGACTCCTGTACCCACATCACATCTGTACTGGGCTGTATCCTGGAGAAGCAATAAACCTTCTCTATTCTACTCGCTGGCGGAGTCTGTTCTCGCTGCTACGGGGGTGCAGGATTGGGGAGGGATAAGAGATCTTATGAAAAAGGGTTTATTTTTTGGAAGATCAGCCTCTAGAATGCAACTTTTCTCCGACAAAGCTCCATGGCAAACAAAAGCGGCGGCTATTTTTATGCTAATGAAGCGCAGGTTATTGAAATCCCGGCTTCATTAGCAATTTTGATGTGACTAATCTACATCTCTCTTTCGGCAGAGAGGTGTAGTCTAGACACACCCCTAGCTTCTGGTGAACACACAGTATCCCTGCCCATTGACAGCCCTATTTTCCATGGATTTATTTAGTGTATTGGCTCTTTGTTTGTGTATATTATTTTTCAGCACAAGATTCTTTCTTTTCCTCAGATGGGAGTTCTATTGCCCATAAAATTTTGGAAACCAAAATTACTCCCTCTTCTCTTTGTGTGTGTGTGTGTTTCTTGATTTGCATTTCCTCTCTCATATTTTCTGTGTTGCTCAAATGTACAACGGCCTTTGTAAAGAAAACAAAACAAAATTTGTCTGGTAAAAATTCTGATGTTAGCCTATGTACGCTTTGTATAAATCATTATAGCTATATGCAAAACTAAACATTAGAAAAAAGAAGGGAAAAACCAAACCTATATTATCGACTAGTTTACAAGGTAAGGGAAATATTTATCTGACACATTTTCACTTGTATTGCAAATAACATTCACTCTTTACAAATCTAAAGAAAATTTTTATCTCTTGTAAAATGATTAACTCTTTCAGGTTAACTTCGGTTTTGTATATAGATTCTTTACAACAAGTATTCCTTTAAGAAAATCCTTTAAAATATGCTTTCTTCTTTTATTTCAGATTTAGTTTATCAGAAAACCCTCATTTATCCTCTCTCAACCTACCTTTGCATACTCCTTTTATTTCAAAATATTTCTGTTCTATTCTTTCAAACTTTGGTCTTTGAGCTCCTTTCTCTATAAATGCCACCAAAATTCTTTCTTGTATTTAATAAACAACCTCTCTATTTGCTGAACTTGAACAATCTTTCTTTTAAAAAAAACCTTTGGTTCTCTCTATTTTTTTGAAATTAATCCTTATTTTTTTGGAAAAAAAATTAGCCAAACATGTCAAACCATAAGCACACATCAGTCTCCCACCCAAAAAAACAAGAAAAAAGTAATATTCTGTCAAGATGTCTGACAGTGCCAAAACTGTACACAACCAAAAAGCAGGAATGGGGAGGAGGACATAATTTTGAAACGAGGCATGGAAGCCTGTCAAAATACATGTTGATAAATACTGTCAAGGTATTAACTACTGAAAAATTTCAGACATGTTACCTCTGATACTTTAGCTTTACCAGCAAACGTGATATTTCTCATGAAACATCATTGTATATTATTGCTTACGACATTTGGAGAAAGCAATAATATCTTTCTCTCACACTCTGTTTTCTTCTGTCTACATCATTATTTAATTGTTTTCTTTTCTAGACACATCTTATGGATAAAGCAGAATCTAACACCCATTGTGGAATTCATCCTCTTAGGACGAAGTTGTCCACTCCAGGTTTCCACCATTGTGACTAACAGCACATGCCAACAGTGTGCACTCCCTCAATATTTCATATGTTTCTGTTTCGAGATACGTGTTATGGAGGAAGAAGAAGGAAGAAACCAAATGCCCATCATAGAATTCGTCCTCTTGGGATTTGGGAATGACTCTGAACTGCAGCCCCTTCTCTTCCTGCTGTTTCTACTGATCTACCTTGTGATTGTAGCTGGGAACAGTCCCATCATTGTGCTGGTTGTGGCCGATCTGCACCTCTACCCCGCCCCCCATGTATTATTTACTGGGGAACTTGTCCGGTGTGCAGATCTGATACAGCTCCACATTCCTCCCTGCCTGGGGACAGAACCATGTCTGTAAAGGTCTGTAAAGTTAGCTAGAACGTTTCTGTTAAGGGCTGCCTTGTGCAATTATATATCTTTGAGGTACTGTCTGCTACAGAATGGCTGCTGCTGGCAGCCATGGCCTAAGCTCGGTACGAAGCGATATGCCAGCCCCTCCGTTACACTGCTCTGATGAACGGCCGGATCTGTGGCCAGCAATGTTCTGTGATTCCAATGAAATCGACTATTTCTTTAAAACAAAATACAGGACTATGTAGCACTTTAAAGACTAACAAGATGGTATATTAGGTGATGAGCTTTCGTGGGCCAGACCCACTTCCTCAGATCAAATAGTGGAAGAAAATTGTCACAACCGTATATACCAAAGGATAGAATTTTAAAAAATGAACACATATGAAAAGGGCAAATCAAATTTCAGAACAGAAGGGGGATGCGGGGGAGGTAAATGTCTGTGAGCTAATGATATTAGAGGTGATAATTGGGGAAGCTATCTTTGTAATGGGTAAGATAATTAGAGTCTTTATTCAAACTTAGGCGTAAAGTGTTGAATTTAAGCATGAATGACAGTTCAGAGGATTCTCTTTCAAGTGTAGTCTTAAAAGGCCTTTGAAGCAGTTGAATTTATGGCTACATTTCTATGACTATTTCTTTGGTGATTTTTCACCCGTGATCAAGCTGTCCTGTGACGACTCCCACGTTCCGCCACTGGTGACATTTACTATCTCCGCCGTGTGCCCTTTCTTTTCGCCCTCACGTCTTACATTTATTTGTATCATCACCACGATCCCGAAGATCCTGTCCAGCACCGGCAGGCAAAAGGCCTTTTCCACCTGTTCCTCCCACCTCATGGTGTTGACCATTTTCTATGGAACCCGCATGATTGTCTACATTGCTCCACCAGCCAACACATTCAGGGTCCTATACCAAATATTCCCCGTCTTCTACACAGCCCTGACTCCCAAGAGCAAGCCTGTTATCGACACCCAGAGAAGGAGGTGAGCGAGTCCCTGGGAAAAGTTTTTCATAAACTGGCTGCTTTCCGAAATGGGCGGAGGATGTGAAAGGATCAATTTTAGCACATGGCCCATCTGAGAACCGGTTCCTTCCTTCCATCATACATTTAATAAACATTTCTTTATACACAACTTGATAGTGTCAGAAACATTCCTCATCAATCCCAGTATAAGGCCTGGGCCTGCTCTGTGTGTTGCTGCCCCTCCCTGTATAAGGCCTGGGCCTGCTCTGTGTGTTGTTTCCCCGCCCTGTATAAGGCCTGGGCCTGCTCTGTTTGTTTGCTGCCCCGCACTGAATTATGCCTGGGGTTGCTGTGTTTGCTAAGGCCCTGTCCTGAATAAGGACTGGGTCTATAAACTGCTGCTGTTCCCTGCAGAGAGGTGGGGACCCTACACTGTCTTTGTGCTGCTTGTTTCCCTGAGCCAGGGCTGGGCTTGAGAACTGCTGCTTGGCCGTCGCATGGGCCTGAGCCCCTAGACCGGGGAGGGGGGAACCTCATTGGGATCCGGGGGCCACTGACCCACAGAAAAATCCACCCGGGGCCGCACACAAGCGAGAAGCAGGGGAGGCAAACTGGGGGCTGCATCTGTGTAGCTGGTCTCTGTAGGCATCTAACTGTGCTGGGCACCATGTAAGGAGGCAGTTTGGCCTCCCCTCCCAGCTGAGATCTCTCCAGCAGCCTTTAATTCTCCTCTCGCTATAAAATAGACCTGACGCTGGCTCTTTTTTTACTATTATTCCAGCCAATCGACTCCTCTAATCCCTCAGTAGAACAGCGATTTCCATTAAGACCAGCAGTTCCGTCGCCGTTATTTTATTTTGAAATAGGACGTCCCCCCTCCACCTTTTTTTTTAAATTTCTTTGTTTTTCAGGACAGCAATTCTCCTGACTCGGTTATTTTCCGTTTGGAATCAGTTGTTTTGCGTGAGTTCTCCTTTGGGCTTCGGAATCAGACTCGCCTTTCGTTTGTAAAGAGACATATTCACGTTCCTCTCCACGATAATTTCCAATTCCCACCAGCAGAAAGATCAGGAGAGATGACATCATCTCACAGGGAGGAGACACTGCCGAGCAGAAGATACATAAATTTCCGCGAAAGGGAATTCCAACAAAAACACCCACCCACCGAGAAGCGCTCTATGCTCCCTACTTTCAGGTAGGAATCAGAAGCTTGTTTACTGAGGAAATTGAAATGTATCGATTGTAGAAGAGACTGAAAAATACAGTGCAGAGGAAATAGTCTTCGCTCTGCACATCTGAAGGCAGGACCAGGGCGAAGCTGGCACTAGATCATCAGTGTGAATGTTCAAAGAGGGCAGTTAAAATGGAAAAAAAAATCTGATTTAGAAATGAAAAACACCTGATCAGGCATCATCCACCATGCGAGGGAGAGAATGGGATTGTTTGTTCCATCCTGCAGGGGAGGAAGTGAAGGCAGATGTGCTAAAGCAAAACATGCCTAAGAAAGATGAAGGACTCTTAGGCTGTGTCTAGACTACATGGCTCCATCGACGGAGCCATGTAGATTAGGGTTGTAGGCAAAGGCAAATGAAGCCGCAATTTAAATGATCGCGGCTTCATTTAAATTTACTTGGCTGCCACGCTGAGCCGACAAAGAGCTGATCAGCTGTTTGTCTGCTCAGCGCGCTAGTCTGGACGCTCCCCTGCCGACATCAAAGCCCTTTGTTGGCAGCTCCGTTATTCCTCGTGGGATGAGGTTTACCGAGGCTGCTGACAAAGGGCTTTGATGTCGGTAGGGGAGCGTCCAGACTATGTTCTAGGCCTCCCCTGCCAGCTACCTACTTAATCTAGGGCTATCATACCTCCCCTTCAAGCATGCTCCTGTAGCCTTCTGGCCTGACCCTGTCACACCTGGACCTCCTCCAGCGGTGTTCATCGCGTGCACCAACCCCTGCACCAACCTCTCTTGGCTGCTCCCAATGAGAGGTGTGGCTTAGAGAAAGGTCTGTGGTTCTGGGTGTCATTGTAGTCAGGAAATGTAGGCTTTCCCTAAATTGTGGCAGTCCTCTTGGGCCCTTTGCAAAATGGAAGGGCATGGTGGAGGTCCATCTAGCCCTGTGGTTCTCAACTGGTGGTCCATGGATCGCTGGTGGTCCATGGTGACTTTTTTGGTGATCCACAGGAACATTGTCCAAAGTCACCCGGTGTGAGCAGGCACCAAAAATCTGTTAGTAAGAAATAAATTACAAACCAAAATGTTCGTTGTCTGCTCTTTTTTATAAGAACATAAGAACGGCCGTACTGGGTCAGACCAAAGGTCCATCTAGCCCAGTAGCCTGTCTGCCGACAGTGGCCAGCACCAGGTGCCCCAGAGGAGGTGGACTGCAGACAATGATCAAGCAATTTGTCTCGTGCCATCCCTCTCCAGCCTCTGACAAACAGAGGCCAAGGACACCATTTCTATCCCCTGGCTAATAGCCTTTTATGGACCTAACCTCCATGAAATTATCTAGCTTCTCTTTAAACTCTGTTATAGTAAAACATTATCATGTCTCAAAAAGGAGGTGGTCCATGAAAATTTTTTGATTAGCCTGGTGGTCCATGGACTGAAACGAGTTGAGAACCACTGATTATTCTAGCCAAATATCCTCTCTTCCAACTGTGGCCAATGCCAGAGGGAGTGAACAGAACAGGGACTCATCCAGTGATCTCTCCCCTCTCGTCCATTCCCAGCCCCTGACACACAGGGTGTGTCTAGACCACAGCGTTTTTTCGAAAAAAGTGGCCTTTTTTCAAAAAAACTTCCCTTGCATCTAGACTGCCGCCACGTTCTGTCGAAATTAAATCGAAAGAATGCAGCGGGTTTTTTCAACCATGGTAAACCTCATTTTACGAGGAAGAACGCCGTTTTTTGAAAGTGCTCTTTTGAAAAAAGGCATTCTTGAATGAAAACAGGGCTTTTTCGAAAGAGAGCATCCAGACTGCCTGGGTGCTCTCTTTTGAAAAAGCGGCTCGCTTTTTCGAAAGAAGTGGTTGTAGTCTAGACACTCTCTTTTGAAAGAGCCAGAGACTTCTCCAGAGACACCATTCCTTCCTACCCTGAAAAATCACAAATGAACCTATCCTCCACAAATGTACATCCTTCACTGGATCCCCTGTGTGTGTCATGTATTTATTTTTTACCATATGAAAAGTGGTCTTCATAAAACTTGTGCAACAAAAATACTCTCTCTTTTGTGTGTGTGGTTTTTTTCGGGGGGAGGGGGTTCTGCATTTCTGTTGTCCTGTTGCACTTTTTTGTTACCCTAGCACCACTTCTGGGGTGAATATAGTTTATACGCGCCCTTCTTAAGTCAGCGGGGGAAGAGCTACGAAGGTAGGGTCTAACCCAATGTGTATAGGGGAGAAGCAAAGAGGAGTTTTCAGATTTATTGGCTCTTGTACCTTTGGTTTAAAAGCAAGTGTCCGTCACTTCCCTCAAATACATGTCTGGATTTTATTCTTCACAACGTTTGGAGAAATCTCTCTCTCTCTGTTTCTGTATTTTTTCTCATTCTTTCTGTATATATTTTTCTTTTTTCACTCCAAGTTCCACTTTCCTCCACGCACGTTCTCCCTTCCGAATAAAATGACTCTCTGATTTCTCTCTTGGTGAATTTTCCTTTCAATTTCTTCTACCTTTCTTTACATGGGGTTAAATTCTTCTCTCATTTGTTCCACTTGTGTAAATATACAGGATCATCATTCTGCGGTAACAGCCGTTGGTGGGGCTTTACAAGTATTCTTTTTGTCTCGCTCTTTGTAGCTTTCACAGCTGCCTATATTAAAGGCGGTAACGTGTTTTTGGCATTTCCTGTTGTTCCGCCATAGGTGGTATAGCGGTTAGCAGAGCTGCATTCCAGCTGGGTTCAATTCCCAGGCAACGCATGCTCTGGTTCAGCTCTTCCCTTTCTTCTCAGGTTGGACATAAGGAAAAACCGCTTAACTGTCAGGGTGGTTAAACACTGGAATAAGTTGCCTAAGGAGGTTGTGGACTCCATCACTGGAGATATTTAAGAGCAGGTTGAATGGACATTTGTGAGGGATGAGCTAGAGTTACCAAGCAGAAGACATAAATTTCTGTGAAAGGGAATTCTGACAAACACCCCCCCCAAGAAGTGCTCTATGATCCAAACTTTCAGGTAGGAATGAAAAGCTGAGTTTATTGAGAACATTGAAATGTATTGAGTGTAGAAGAGACGGAAAAATACAGTGCAAAGAAAATAGTCTTTGCTCTGAACATCTGAAGGCAGGACCAGGGCGAAGCTGGCACTAGATCATTGGTGTGAAAGTTCAAAGAGGGCAAAAATCTGATTTAGAAATGAAAAACACCTGATCAGGCTTCATCCACCATGTGCGTGGCGGTGTTAGGTCCTGCCATGAGGGGAGGGGACTGGACTCAAAGACCTCTCGAGATCCCTTCCAGTTCTGGTGTTCGATGTGGTGGAGGACAGCTGGCAAGACCTTCAAATACAACTCAGCATCTGTGGGATTTTAGCATGTGTCTTAGGGGCTATGTCTACACGGCATCTGGGCGGGATAATCCCCTGCTCCGGTAGAGCCACACGCACAATCTCTGTGCTAAAACTAACAGCGTCGCCTGGGCCGAACACACTAGCTGCCTCAGCTGGATCCCATCTTAGGTCGTAGGGACAGGTAGGTGGCTATTCCAAGCATTGTCTGTGCTGTCCTGTTCTCACTGCTAAGTCTAGCCTGCTCACTTGGTCAAAGCTAGTGCAAGGTAGGTCTGCCCAATGTTGGGAATTGCTACAGGGTAGATGGAACTGTGTTGGAATTCTAAACACCAGTCACTTCCAGTCGATGGACTTGGGCGTGTTATCTAGATTGGTGGATACTTTTATCGGACACGTGTTGTGTTTTACCTTCCCATCCTAAATCTTGATTTCTAATCCAGGAGGGTTTCAGGGAGTGAGAGGGAACATTTCTGTAATCCCATCGGGTTCCATGCTCTAGGTTCGCCTATCCTGAATGCTCCAACTCTTAATGATCTGAATCTTCCTCTGTTTATTGACAACTTCATTTTACCTGTGGAGAGATGCAGTGGCGGATATAGGGTAGGGCGAGCAGGGTGGCTGCCCCAGACCCCATGCTTCAATAGGCCCCTCACCAGTGCCAGGGGCGGACTGGCCTGGCGGGATACCAGGAATTTCCCAGTGGCCAAGGAGGAGGGGGATTGTGACGGGGCGCCACAGCCCTGCACTTTAAATTCCCCGGCACAGGCCAGTATGGGCCATGTGGGGCCGAGGGAACACATGCGTGGCGTGCTGAAATGCCACGCAACAGCTGAGAGGGGAGACACCTGGGCGTGGCGAGATGTCACGGCTCGGGACTTTAAAACGGTGTGGCCCAGCATTGCACCGCTCAGTTCGGCACATGGTCTGGAGCCTGGGCCGGGGTTGCAGTCACCCTGTACACTGGAAGGCAGAAGGTGGATGGCAGAGGAAGGGGCTTGTGCTGAGGGGAGGGGGGCAGGGCAGGAGAAGAAAAGGGAAGGCACCAAGGGACAGTGTGGAGGAGAGACAAATGCCAGGGGGCCAAGTGCAGACAATGAGGAAAAGGGCAGGAGGGGAGGTGTCAGTGGGGGGGGGGGGGGGCGTGGGGAGC